TTTTTTTTTTTTTTTTTTTTTTTTTTTTTTCTTTTCTTCCAATCGCGATGCAGAAAAAATTAATAATTGACAATTGTTTCATTGGGTCCACTTGATTCTTACGGCCGATCGACTATGTTCGAAGCCACACTACGAAACTAAAATTATGTACAAAATCACAATGTTCCTCTCTCGCGGATATTCGTTACACCGTCGTCACAATTTTATTCGCCGTATAATCTCTTGTATGATCCGCAAGGATTCTCTTGTATATAAATTACACGTGACTACAATCGCTACGAATCGCGCGCACAATTGCAACCTATGTCTTTCTTCGTTTCGCGTGCGCGCGCGAAATAAACAGAGCTAAATGATTCACGTTAAATATAGGTAACCTAAAAACTACATTAATTCGTGAACCGCGCAAATAACGCTAATATTCGAGTACCGTGCGGGCGGGTAACGTCGTCGTCTACCGCAACGCAAACGTATGCGAGTGACAATGAGACACAGAAATAAAAATTTATGGGAAAGAAAAACTATCGACAACAACGGTGTCCAATTCGATAACGTCGCTGTTTAAACGACGCGGTGTTTATAATTATCACGTAAGAAAAAAAAAAAAAAAAAAAAAAAAAAGAACCGGGTTTTCGGGGGCATCGTTAACGGCCGTTCGTGGAAAAAAAAAAAAAAAAAAAAAAAAAAAAAGAAAGAAAATCATCGCAAACCTAACGAGATTCTTTCTTGAGATTCTCGACTCGAGATGTTCTCCCGCGAGAAGAGAAGAGCGCAGAGAAGAATAAATAAATCACGAGTAAATAATTCAGGCCGACATCGCTTCCGCCCAACGCAACACGGTGAAAATATTAATTACGAATCCAATATCAATTACGAAATATAACATCCTAACCTCTTAACATTCGACACTACCGCTTGTGACTCGTCTTGCTCTTAGGGCTTTCCGTGGCGCTGTCGTTAGGCTCCCTTCTAGGTCGTAGAATGAAGTTCAGATTGTGTGCGGTATTTACGGCGTAATAAACGTTGGCCGAATTTGGCAAAAGCATTTCACGATCGGGTAAAACCTGGGCCAGGGTGTACTGGTCCGGGCTCCCCTCTATCCCCAACTTAAGCATAGCGTTACGTATCACTTGCGGCGTCCTCTCGTTATTCGAGAGCATGATGGATTTGTACAGCACCACACCCTCGGTCTCCACGTTATCGCTCTCCATCGTCACTTTTATTATGTAAAAATCCGGCGAACTCTTG